TTAATCGAGCGTCGTGATTTTTTTCCTTCGTTATATTCGTTATATACTCTCATACATATTTCTCGATTTCTCTTTCGCTCGGAATATTCAAAAATTGGCGCGGGATCGCGTTACACGCACGACGCATACGTTACACACGTTACATATAGAAATTTATGCACACACATATATATGCACACACAGAGAACCACAAAACTAACTTTGGCCTGCAGGTGTCTCTATATTTAGCAAACTCTATCTTTAGAAGCAGTCACTGATTGATAGAATTGACTATATACGTTGGTAAAATAGGTACGTGTCCTAGAACAGTAACAGTATTCGAGAAAGCTCGTGTTTGCTAGAGAGTGGTACCTTTTAGACTCCCTCGAGAAACTTGAGTCATAGACCTAACTGAGACTTTTTTTTTAGACTTCGAGATAATCCTGTCCTCGAATTCCTCTTTTATCCCGACGATTATATTTTAAAATATGCATAAAAAAAAAAGAGAGAAACGTTTCGGGCTCCTCTTGTCAAAAAGAAGAAAAAAAAAAAAAAGAAAAAGATTTTGATACACAAGGATATGCAAATTCATAAATATTCGAGAATGAAATCAATTTTTCTTCCACGCTGACCAAGATTTTGAGTGACGGAGAGTTTGTAATGGTCTCCAAGCCTGGGAGATTTTTTTCTTATCTTGGTTATTAATTTATAGATATATCCAATAGCGACGTAATTTTTAGGGCTTCGATAATCGTAGATATATTAGGATATTATCCATCGTGGTCGTTCCTTTTGTTATTCTATTTTATTTCCGTTTTCTTTTCTCTTTACCCCTTTCGAGACGATCTTCCGTATATAAATAGCAATAGTATTGTAATAAATCAAAGAAAAGATGAATCTAATTTTCAAAATTATTTCTCCAACCAACTTCATATCTGTTAATATTTGAAACAATCCTTGTAAGATATATCTCGCCTTGTTAATCTCGAAAGGGTTAAAAATACGAGTAGCTAGATTTAAACGATCCATTCACATTTACTCCAATTTTCATTCCTTGATTAGCGTTATCACAAACTAGGTAAGTCGATTGGATAAAAAAAAAAAAAACGATCGGATCTTTAATTGATACGATCCATATTTACGATCGAGGAAAAAAGGGGTAAGCTCCATTATCGGCCAAAATTTGGAATTTTATTCTAATCGATAATAAATTTTTGGGAAAAAAAATTTCTAAAGCAAAATTCCACACCGATCGATAATTTTTTAAATATTTGGATATCGATTCCAAATTTTCGACCGAAAAGGGGGTTGAACGACCGCGACGGATGTCACGTTTATTATCTCCGTGGAGCTAGAATTATATAGTTAGATGGATTATATTAAACTATATCTAGAATTAGAATCTCGCGTGAGTAAGTTAATAAGAATTTCCCGTGAATCCAGTGTCGAGATCCATTTGACAATAGAAATAGTTAAATATTTAATCTCTTACTACCGTAGTAGTTATCCCATCCTCCGTGCATCTCCCCATCCGTTTCCATGGTTTCGATATTAAGCCGGATTTCCTTTGGAAACCGATTTTCGCGATGACAGTTTTAAAGGGTAATCCATCGATGCGCTAATTCGATAACCTGATCCGACACTGCGAGAAATCAAGAGCCGAAGCTTCCGGATTCCTTTGTTCCCTCGATCGAGGGGGAAAGAAAAGTAACTTTGACCCTCCCTCGATCTCGACTTCTCGAAACGAAGGGAAATCGAGATGAGTTGGAGATTTTATTATTCGGCTGGTATACGTCTCCGTTTATCCGGATGTAATTTGGAGCAGTGTTTCTCAACGCATTCGATTTCTTTAACGAATCGTGACAAATAATATTTAAGATATTTTATTTATGATTGTTTTGATTAAATTTCGTTTTATCTTTATGTTAAATTTTCGAAAATTATTTTTGTCTAATGCTCTCCATGACAATTCTGGATAATATTATTTATATAAAAATTGTTTTAAATAATTATTTTTAAATTAATATTTCTGTTTTAAATTATTTCAATTAATAAATTCATTTATTATATTTCATATAAATATCTTCTACTGATTCATTGATGTATCATTTAATTTGAACAAAGCTATTTCAATAATTATTTCCAATATATTTCATTCCATAATTTTGATTAAATTTAAAAGATAAAAAAAAAATCAAGTTATTATATTATATTATATTAAAATATATAATTTCATTTATTAATATAATATACATTAATTTGAATGATTAATATAAAATGGAATACCAAATTTTTTTAAATTTCACTTGGATCGTGATGACTATCACGAACAAATATAAGCAAAAGGGTTGAGAGACGCTGATTCTAGAGTATAGTCACCGATGCTTAAAGTCACCTCTCATAGAACTTCATCCCCCGACCTAGTTTAGAAACTAGCTGAATTTAAACGTTTGGTTATAGAATACGCGTATGTTGAAATAAAATTGATTTCGTGTAATCGTGTAAATCGATATAAAGAAAAAAAAAAAAGAAGGCAAAAAAATAAAGCGAAACAAAACACATATCAGTCTCCCCCACCCCCCCTCCGACGACGCTTCACCTCCGATTAGACATTACTTAATCCCATCTCCCAATCAGGTTAGGTCATAGAACGCTAGTTAACCACATAGTTGTGTAGCTTAAGTAGCGTGAGTATTAGTGTAATAGAGTAGTAAGTAGTAAAGTGTGGCGGGGTGTGTGTGTTTTGGGGCAGGTTCATCACGGCGTTCTCGCAAGGCATAGAACTGGATATGGATCTGCGCACGTTGCGTGCGATACGCGTGTTGCGACCGCTCAAACTTGTCTCCGGCATACCGAGTGAGTAGCGTTTCAATACAATCGGCCATGAAAATCAAGCCGAATCGAACGAAACGGCCTCGTGTTTTCTTTCTTCGTTTTTTTTTTTCCTTGATCGATTTCTCGATAAGTCGATCGAAAATAAATCTTTTTTGAAGATTATTGATTATTATTGAGATTTAATTTTTTTATTATTGAGATTTTTTTTTTTTTGAAATCGATGATAAAATTCTGGCGATTCTCGATCGATCAAGTAGATCGAGCGCGAAATTTGAACGATGTAATACGATCGAGTATCGAAAATTGGAATTTCTTGAGATTGAATGAGAAAGAAATATAATATTATCTAAGAAGAAGTTTTTTTCTTTTTTTCTTTTTTTTTTTTTTATTAGAATAAGAACTGAAAACGCGAGGCTC